AGACAATTCTGTATTAGTTGACGGTTAAAAGTAAAAAAAAAAAATATTATATTTAATAGCTTTTAACTGAAATGCAAAGAAGCCTGTATAGCTTTGTAGCTAGGGTTGCTAGAAATAGATATAATAAAAAAATTCCTTTGCGAATACGTTGAAAATAGATTTCGTTTTTATCAAGAAAAAAGATCTATTTTTTTTAATAGAACATAGTGAAAACAAAACAAAACATATATCATATGAAACTGAGGTTAATTATCATTTTTGAAAAAAAGTCAGAACATATGATAATGCATGTTTATGAACATGTAAATTGAAATAATGTTTTTTTAAGTCTTTAAGTATGAGAATAGAAAATGAATATCAAGAATAGAATTTGCTCACGACTTCAGTGCTTTAATAAGGACACTTACAAACCTTCACACACCTCTGCCGAATATTTTAAAGGACGATATATCCATGTGACGCATTTCAGCATACCTAACTGCAAAAGATTGTTAAATTCTTATGCTTGTATACGAAGGTTCTTTTGACATAATCGAATGCATCATTCAGGGTCTTTCAAATATGAAAGACCCCGACATAATGGGTAATGCGTAAATGCAGGAATGTTCAAGTAAATTACTTAGATTAACCATTGCATCGATTATTTATCAAAATGTACTGTTCCAAATTTATGGTTAATAATTTAGATTATATTTAATTGTTAACGAAATTGAATACTGATAAAATCTATTCTTTCATATCGCTTCTTTGCATTATGCAGAATACGCATGCGCGAAATGCTACTTCCGTTTCTATGGAAACATCGTAGTGTTCACCAGTACAATCAAATGAGGGCATTTTGTTACACAAATTGAAAATTATATATAATGATAATAACATCGGATAAATATGAAGTACATGGTTATACATGATTTATACGCGTATGCCCTGTATACTTGTTTTGTTGCGTAGTTTAATTTAAGTCTTATTATTAAACTTTTACCTCTAATGAGCATATGTAGAACTTTATAGTTTCTGTACTTTAGTGATAATGAAGATAATGATTTTCATTTCAATGACATTTTAATTTGTCAGATACAAATTTAACTACAGTAACGGCTTTGCCCACGCTTTGAATCATTCAGATCGTGCTCCTGTATTTAATTGTCATTTAAAGTGTTTTTAATAGGATTGCGGATTTTGTACTCACAATTAAAGATATATTTGAACTGAAATTTATCATCACCAATGGTTATAAAAAAATAATAAATCTTATGATAAACAAATTAATAACGATTTTAACGCTCATACAATATGTGTCATTAGTCTACAATGTAGAAATTGAAAACTTTAAAGTAAACGCCTACCTTTTCTAAGAATTGAAAATAGAATGACTGATATAATTTGATTTTTGATCTTGGTTTTGTTTAAGTAATACGCATATCTCAGGGTAAGTATAAATTATAAAAAAATATTAACATTTTTATATCCAACATTGTTTACAAATGGTTCTAGTGATTAAGTTACCGAGCAACAAATATCTACTTCTTTAATGTGTCAACGTTTTAATATCAGTAGATTTCAACGCATATTTTGTCATTAAAACAAATCCCGAGACACCCGTGTTTTTCTTTAAAAGAAGTGTTTTAAAAAGATATTTGGTCATACCAAATCGGCTGGTGGATCATACTAGTTTTAATGGATAACTACGAAGATTGATAAAAAATTTCTTGGCACGATATACTTCCGGTAGTCAGAGAACCCAACTTATGGTCTTACTTTTCAATATAATCGCCCTCTACCATCAATGCACTTTGCCCACCTGTGCTCCAACTTGTCAAACCTTTCAAAATAGAATTCTCTATTTTGGTCCTCAAAGAACTCATCGACCGCCTCCTTGACACCTTCATTGCTTCCAAAACGTGTACCACGAAGCTTGTTTTCAGTTTTGGAAGTCAGGGGGGGGGGGGGGCAAGTCCGGAAAATATGCGGGATAGGGAAGAATTTGAGAACCGAAGGTAGCTGCAGCAGCCATCGCAACTTTGGATGCGTGAGCTGGCACATTGTCGTGCAGGAGCAGAATGCCTTGAGTCAGTTTGCCCCTCCTTTTACTCGCTATTTCTTGATACGGACGTCTCAATTCGTCTGCATGATACGTACCCTTTATGGGACGACCTTGCTCAAGATAGTCAATCATGATTATCCCCTGACGATCCCCAAAAAATTGAAGCCGTCATCTTCCCTGCTGATGGCAATCTCTTAAATTTCTTTGGAAGGGGTGAGTTAAGTAGCTTTCACTGCATGCTCTGTTTTATTGGATTTTGGATCGAAGTGATGGACCCATGTTTCATCCTGAGTTACGATCCGGTAAATAAGATCAGATTCATCCTCGTAGCGAGACAAAATATATCTTGAAATATCAAGCTTGGTCCTTTTCTGGTCGTCAGTCAACTGTCTGGGGACCCTTCTACCTTTGACATGTCATAGACATCAGTCAAAATATTGCCTGAACTAAACTAAAGCATATACCTACTTTCCTAGCAATGCTTTGCAGGTCTCGCCCCTGTCGCACATAACCAGATCGTGAACAGATTCGGCAGTTTAGTCGTTGGTGGCCTCTTTTGGCCGCCAAAGCCGCTCATCAACTCCAATGCTCTTCCTGACCCTCTAAAATTCAGCAGCCAATTTTTCACGGTGCTCTAGGAAGGGTAGTGTATCCATGAAATCTTCATGGATTTCCTTGGGGACATCCCTTTCTTACAGAGGTACTTAATGACGGCTCTGATTTCAACTTTGTCCATTTGGTCTAATTACACACTCTTCTACTTATCAAAGTTTGTTTTATGCAATTTAATCTGTGTAAAACCGCGTTCAAGTTGGCCAGTTATCTTCAATAAGATATCGGTATCGACGTATCATGTGTAAATGTCAGTGTAGTGGCTAGAAGTATATCGGACGAGACATTTTTTATCATACCTGGTAAACTCAGGAAAAGTTTAAAGTTTCATATGTTTTAACAAATAAATGTATCAAAAGGCCAACTTTACGAAAAAAACTTTGTATGCAACATCAACAGCAATTTTTAGGGAAGTGGTATGACTTAAACATAAACAAATTTAAACGATTTAATTTTTTTTACTGCCTTGTAAAACACAGAATTTCTATAATAAAAGATTAAACAAATACATTCTTACAAAGTGCACTATTTTTGCGAATAATATTTGAATGCAATTTATAAAAATAATTAGCATAAGACCAAATATCGATGTTACATAGGTTAAAAAATGTAACAAAACTGGGCCTTTTTCAAAACAAAAAGACCTTCAAGAAATATTGCACGGTAAAATCATAACGATACATTATCTTTCTATGTATAGATTAAAGTTTATTAGTACGTATTTACAAAGTTAAATTGGTCAGGCGTGCCGCTACCGCGCGACCAGTTTAATTTTTGTAAATATATATGTATAGTAATAAATTTTAACCAGCTTAGTGTTTTAAATTATTTCTAAACAGTCGATTTACTAGACTGATTCATAGTTTGCTGATTTACAAAAGTAAATGTGTTACGATTCATTTAAAATCCTGCAATCATATTGGACAAAAAATTTCAAACACTTAAACCATTTTTTTAACTCAATGTTTGAAATACTTCACAGAAAGTTTACCCATTAATGTTTTATTATAAAACATTAATGGGCACATTTTCTATGAAGTAACTATTTATACACCAATCCTCTTTTAACAATAACAAAATAATTATTATTATCATGTTCATAAACGATAAATCTTATATGACTATAATGATGGTAAAAAATAATCTGCTTCAAATATTTGATCTTGCATTATTAATAATTACAATTATCAAAGTCATGGACATATTTAATTACTATTAATTTTTCAGTCCCGAACAAGTCGGCTTTTTGTATCAAGGCTTTGTGAAAACCACGTCATTTATTATCATTAATTATTATAAATGAATTGCTTTTCTCATTTGTATTTGTTTAACATTTTTGCAGGCATCTAATTAGAGTAATAGAAATGTCATAATATTATAAATGGGTTTTGTTAAATCTAATATATCTTAACTATTTAAAGGCCAATTATGCTTCAGAAATGCTATCATTTTATTTTTTCAAAAACTGTTTATTTACAGTTTCAAAAAACATATTCATTTGTTATATACATGAACGATCTTTTGCATCTTTAGTTCTGTTGGTAACTAGTATAAATATAGTGAAATAGTATTTTGTACGGAAGTCAAAATACCTCTTTGTTTACATTTTGCAATCTTTAAGGCACATAAGTGCATGATCAGCGCTATTGTTTCAGTTGTAAAACATCTTACATATCAATTAATTAATTAAACATTATTATTTAACACATGTTTGACATTTCTAAATAATTAAATAAAAAAGGTAATGATATGCCTTAACTTTAAAGCTGGATATACAGATTTTATATAAATACTCATCAAGTATAAAGCTAAACCTTATACATTTTAAATTAAAATTCAAAACCGTAAAATAATTACATTCTTAAAGTCTTATGGACATTCGAAAATCAGTCTTTACCAAGAATACATGCGATTATTCTAACTATATTCCAAGTTGACCATGATATTTATGCATTCTTTAATGGAGTTGTGTAATATTTCCTATTTTTTTTGCCCCGAGAAAATAAAGAGCAACGAAGGCGGGGGTTGAAATGACATGCGTTTGTCTTTCTTTATTAGAGTGCCACCTAGTGAAGGAAAGTCGACATATTTTCATATCAGATGCTGGTTTCTCGAATTTGAAATAAATTAAATGCATATGAAGATTATAACTGACCAAGGATCTGAATTGCTTCAAAACATTGCACCATAAAATAAATTCTAATCATGATTGCATCCACATTATAACGATTTCCTAAGTAGTTTTCGTAATTAAATTGTAATTGATCATCAACCACATATTTATCAAAATTACACCAGACAATAATGCACATAACAATATGTGTTTTTAAATGAATAAACTGCAAATGTAACCTTACATGGTCGGATAAATAAACGTGCTAAAAGGAAGAAACAAATTGTGCATCATTATAACAATTAGTATGCAATTGTGTGCTTCTGGAATATAAACCATTTATATGCAAAGTTCAGGCGCAACATATCATTCAAAACCTGGTAGTTTTAATAACAGCATGGCTCGGGCTAGTTTATTGTTCGTACTTATAAGTGTTGCGCTTTCGGCAGCCCAAGTCATTCGAAGTCCCCCAGGTTCCACTAGTCCGGTAAATTCTATAAAGTCACCAGCAAGTGTGGATGTGTACAGTGCTTTAGTGCGTAAGTTACCATTTCTTATATATTTCAGGAAGGCGTCGTTCAGTATGAATTTAAATTCAGGCCATAATAGTTCGCAAAATTAAAACCTTTATAGTTGAACCGAAAAAAACAACAACACATTTTAAACAAAGTTTGATGATGACAAAATATGCTATTGAGATGTGATTTTACATTGTTCATTTTAGTAAGTAAGTAATTTATAGTTAGTCTATTCAAAAGATCAAACTTGAATGAAATGTTTGTGTCCAAATTTTATGCAAACATATCTTAAATTGAAATTTTAAAGTGGTTTGAGAAATGTGAAACCAAAGCCTAATTATATGAATTGGAAAAATTAAAAAAAACAACAAAAAAACAAGTACTCTTTTAGATGATTTTCTGGAAACTAGCAAATGAGTTTTAGGTTGAAATATAGTTTTTTTTACTACATTTGTCCGTGGATTTAACATTTTAACCATGCAATTGATATAAATTGTTCATTCATTCTGACAACAGTAATGGAGGACAACAGTTTACAGTAAACTCCGCTTAAAACGATATTCAGGGGACCGCCGAAGTTAAGTCATGATATCAGGTAATCGTTATATCCGAGAATCAATCCATTTAAAAATAAGAATTCGGACCGCGGAAACAGTATTGTTATAAGCGGTACATCGTTATAAGTGATATCGTTATAAGAGAAGTTAACTGTATGTCACACGTTGTAAAAAATACTTACAAAAATCAAGATCTGCACAATGACACTGAATAATTTGATTTTGATAATAGTCTGATAGAGTTTTAACAAATATTTGACGTACATAAATGATCAAGAACATAGAAAAATACATTTCCTTAAACACTTCTTAAAAAAAATTAATGCTATTAAGTATATCTAGTGATGAAAATGCAAATGAAAAAAAAACATTCTTCTATTACAAACAACATTATATTGTTTTACACCCTTTAATCTATTATTATTTAAATCGTTTCCTAACTTGAACTCATTTGATTTTAATAGGTGTTTTACTAAGATTTTGATGTAATGTATTGTTTATTGCTATTTATGTGCTCTATTAGTTGAATACTTGCTTTGATTTCGTTAAATTATTAGTTATAATTTTTTAACAGGTTATATGACCCTATATAAACGTTTATATTGCAAACAACCGTTAATATACTTCAATCTTAAATGTAACGAATTCATTATACAGCACGCATCATTTATTTTTTAGAGAAAATGTGAGAATTCTTCATATATTGATAGCAGCCGTGCGTTTTCAAAACAATATAAAAGTCACGATTATCGAATAAAAACCGACACCACAAACGTGCAGTATTATATAAAAACCTTTATAATACTGCACGTTTGTAACGTCGGTTTTCATTGGATAATTGTGACGTTAATATAGCTTTATAAACACGGTTGCTGTCTACTTATAAAAAATCTCTCTTTATTTCTCTAGAAATGATGATTGCTGTATTATAAATTCGTTAAAATATTTCTGACATGTTATATGGCCGTATATAAACGGTTGTTTGCAACATAGCGGCTCGAGTTATATTTACAAACAACCGTTAATATAGGACCATATAACCTGTCAAAAATCTTTATAACTAATAATATAAACGTCACGATTATCCAATGAAAAACGCCGTTTCAAACAAACAGTATTATAATGTTCTTTAAATGCTTTATAAACGTTTGATCATATCTTTATGAACCGCCTATTTGTCATGTGCATCTTTTCATTCTAAATGCGTGGCATGTATGAAATCAATGCGTGCTATGGTTTTCCTATATTCAACCAATCAAAACTTGGAAAATCAGATATAATCGTATCGCAATTTGGTTATATGTATTATTCCTTAAAATTTTATCTAGATATGAAATTTTTGTCGATAAAAAATTAGTCATGTGTATAATTAAAATGAATTATTGATTAAAAATTAAAGATTTTGAAGAAATGCACAATTAAGCAGTTTTAAAGATTGAATATAGAGATAATTTTTGAGTAATTAATAACAATAAGGAAAGAAGATATATACAAGCTATCTCATCTAACATCTTACAGAAAAACTTTGTCATCCTTCTTACTTAAGTTATCGTATTTATATTCCCATTTAAAAAACAGTAATTAGCCATTATTATTAATCATGATCCATTTTTCGATCCAATCCATTTCAATTATGTAACTAATTAATGCACATATTTTTTTCTGCAGATGAATTAATATCTTATTTACTTGTTGAGAACACTTAGTCGTCTAAACTTAAAATTTATTCTGCGCAAGATTTTAACGGAACTCCACTGAGGTACAAAAATTAGATTTTCTACATTGATCGGCTTGGTCACTTATAACAGAAAGATTTGCAAAACCGTATTAAGAAATATGCCCAGAAATATATTGAAATTTGTACTTTTGAGCTATTCTTAGTCCGTTTTAAGTGAAATGCGTTGCAAAGCTTTTAATTTTAGGTAATTTTTATTATAAAATTACAAATAGAATTATTATTCTAGACAAACGAAGAGAACGAATGGTTCAATATTGTGCACACAAGTTATTGGTCTACCTACATCAAATGTAACATAAATCTCAGAAAAAATTCCTAACCCGTCATGTCAAAAATCCTAAGTGGAGTCCTTTAAAGTCCCATGGACATTTTAATAATGTACGGAGAAGCCATATACTTCTGACAGAACAATATATCCCTCAGCAGAACATTTTCACCGTTCCTGAATAGCTGCCTTCGGTAATTGAATAAAACACAACATGCCTATGACTATGGACGTAGGTGACGAACAGTGGAATACGCCACCTGTGTCCTATGGACACATTTCTAGTTATGATCTATTTCCCTCTTACCGCAATATGTTTTCTTTTGAAGATCCTGTAGCTTATTGTTTATGGTTTTATATCATAAATATGATGCTAAAATGAAGATGTGTCAATATTGCATGTGTCAAAAACCAGTATTTGTAAAGATATTACCGAATTTACATTTCATGAAAATAAAGGTTGGTAAAAAGATTTTTTTTCGATAAAGTCTAAGCCAATTTTTCAAAAAGACATAAATGCATATATTTAAATAATAACTTATAATGCGTTTTAAAGTTTGCAGTACATATAAAAACATATGCTTTGATGTTTGGAAATGGTTTTAAAAGAATAATTATAGACATATATAAAATTTCACTTGAGTGTTGTAACATCCTTAATTACAACATACAGGATCTTTTTATGTAATGTTCAAAACAAAAGAGAATCCACTTTTTGTGTCGCCTTGAAAAAGGCGACATATAGGGGTTACTTTTGTCGGCGGTGACGGCGGTGGTGGCGGTGTCTGCGTCGGCGGTGTCGTTGTCGGCGTCCCCTTAAGCTTGTCCGGAGCAAAAGTCATTCATTATAAGTTGGATTGACTTCGAGCTTTGTATGCATGCGTTTTATAATGACCCAAAGTGCAGTGCACAAGAAACGGTACTATGCACTTCTTAATTTTTGAGTTATTGCCCTTTGTTAATTTTCATACTTTATTTTTGTCCAGGCCATTTCCCGTAAAGTATATAAGCTATGGACATGAAACGTCATAGGATTATAGATCTCATGTAGAAGAAGTACAGTGCACAAGAACCAGTATTCTGCATTTCTTATTTTTTGAGTTAATGCCCTTTTATAATGTTCATACTTTATTCTTGTCCAGGCCATTTCCCCCAAAACATAAAAACTATGGTCTTTGAACTTCATAGGATGATAGATCCTGTTAAGAATAAGTGCAGTGTACAAGAACCGGCACTCTGCACTTCTTATTTTTGAGTTATTACCCTTTATTAATTTCATACTTTATTTTTGTCCAGGCCATTTCTCATAAATTATAAAAGCTATGGTCCTGAAACTTTATAGGATGATAGATCTTATTGTTTAAAAGTGCAGTGCACAGAAACTGCTGCTCTGCACTTCTTATTTTTTGAGTTATAACCCTTTGTTAATTTTCATGTTTCATTTTTGTCCTGACCATTTGTCCTAAACTATATTGTTCACAAGGCGACACATCCGACTCGCGGAGTTCTAGTATTAACTTTACTTTGAAAAATTTCGTTACGTTAAAATATCTGTATCTAGTGTATGTGCGCCTATAACAGCATTTTTAAACTTGACTTTACGGTGCCCGTTTAATAGCAATATACAAATTATGATTATCCAACGTGTCATCGTTAAAAGATGCTTAACTCTTAAAATGTTGATAGAATGGAATAATAAATTGGCTACGTAATACTTCTATTGTTCGCACCATCCGCAATTGACATTCAAGGCAGTTAATGTTGTAGTTTTTTCAGCAGCAGAAATAAAAACGTCCCCATTTTAATAATAGCTGCAAGATCATAAAAACTGACAAAAACTGTATTATAAAAACACGGGTCTTGACATCTCTTGTCGTGTGGTTTTATGCTGAAGACGGCTTTAGATGACAATATTACAGCTTGCGGACACATGATATACAAAAGTTATAAAATTATTTATGAACAGTTCTACATTTACATTTTTATTTTATAGTGGGTAGATCATTAATTAAAACGTTTAAGGACACACAAGAGAAAATGATCCTTTACAAATAAAAATACACCCAAGTAAAAAAAATGTTTAAATTGTATACTTATAACAGAAAATTAACACATTGAATACCTATTATGCCTCAGAAATGCTTTTATCTTATATTTCTCGAAAGCTTCTTAAGTTTGGTGTATTTTCATAACATCCAAAAAGTTACACATTGGCCAATTTCCTTGACCATCTTTTTATCTGTTGCTTTTGGGCAATAAGTACAGTTATTACAGTGAATAAGTATTTTGTATGGAAGTTAAAATACTACTTTGTTTACATTTTGCTACTTTTATGACAAATTATTTCACATTTCTGATTATTTATTCAATTACGTACAACATTACATTTTACAGAGGTCAGTATCAGATGTAAGAACGACCCATACAACGGACTAACATGTGCCGCAGAATACCCAGACCAATGCAAAGGTATGCACAAAGCAGCAATTCTCGATGTTAGGGTTTTCAACAATTTCACTTATTACATTAGTTTAGTTTGTACAAATTATCTTAGTTCAATTGTGTTAAACGCTATGCGCTTATTGAAACACTATCGAATTCATTCGTTCTAAGCAATGAATGTAAAGTTGTTGCTTAAGGAACAAATCATTACATTAACGCGACTATTGGGTGATAGGATATATTTTGTTGCAATAACAACTTATTTTACAAAAAGCTGCGTGTGGTTTAATGTTATTATACCAATAACCTTTAGAACTTAAAATAAATACAATAAAATATAAAATAATACAAGAAATTTAAAATACAATCCTTATCGACCGTTACAGATTAGTATGTTTAGACATTCTTGAAATTTTACAGTAATCTTTTGTTTTAAAATGGCTATTTATTCAATTAAATATGAAAGTATAAACTTGGTCAGTGAGTCCTCAAGTGAAAAATTGATTTGGAATATAATATTTGATGTTTTTTCCAGTTGAAACAAAAGGCATAAATAAGAAGCAAAACACACACATACATGATACCGCAATTATATACACAGATATATCTGTGTAATAAACTTTTGTTCAGTACACTGAGCTTTTAATGTTTTCTGCTAAGTAAAATGTCGTAACAAAATAAACAAAACTTCTTTTTCATATGACCATCAGAGCAATGGAACTTCCCCAATCCATGCACACAGAATAACCTGGACAGGAATATCAACAGATTTGTTCACCCATTCGATAAAACTAAGTTTCTAATGTGTGGTCAGCTAGGCAAATTATATGTTGTTCAATGTCCACAGCATGAGGTAAGGTTTGAACGTTTAAAATCCCATTTTGTTCATCATTCAATTTTCAACGATCATGTTACTGCTCACGTTTTGGATATATTTCAAACGAAAAAGGAACAGTAGAAGGTCAGGATATTGATTTCATAGTAATGACAAATTTGTTGATAAAAGTTAGAGATTTGAAGCGGGTTTTCCGACTGAAACTTCAGTTTTTGAGATAATTGAATGTTGGCGAATGAACTTGTGGCCGGGGATTAACAGTTTAACTGAATTAAATTAATTGACGAAAATTGACGAAAAAGTACTAAAATCTATCCATTTAAATTCCCGAATAAGTTACAAAATCAAAACAAAAATAAGTTTTATAAAATACAAAATACACATAAAGACATGACAAAATGTAAGGAAATATAATATGCACAGTGACACCCAAATACGTATTTGTTATGAAATCATAGAAATCATAAAACGTCAATTAATTTAAAATCCTTTAGATATTCCATGATGGCTGTGGTGAATGCGGTGATGCAAGAAATACAGCATACTGTAGCGAAGTTGGCAGTGGAAGTAGTGGTAGTGGAAACATGGGCAACATGGGCAGTGGAAGTGGTGGTAGTGGCAATATGGGCAGTGAAAGTATAAGCATTGAGGGAATTGTAGGTAATAGTGGTATAGGCAATAGCGGCGGCAGCATCATGAATGGTATAAGTAGTGGTATTGGAGGTGGCAGCGGTATGGGCAATAACGATGGTAGCGTTTTAAGTGGTATAATAAGTAGCAGTGGAGGTGGCAGCGGTATGGGTAACAGCGGTGGCAGCATCATGAATGGTAAAAGTAGTGGTTTTGGAGGTGGCAGCAGAATGGGCAATAACGGTGGTAACGTTTTAAGTGGTAATGTAAGAGGCAGTGGAAGTGGCAGCGGTATGGGTAACAGCGGCGGCAGCGTCAAGAGTGGCAAAGGTATTATCGTTGGAGGTGGCAGTGGTACAGGGAGTAGCGGCGACAGCTTC